AGGACTGACCGGTTTGAACGCCTTGCAGTCCAAGGGACTCGCAGGAGTCTTCTCCAGCACCATAATTCAAAGGCCTCCATTCTTTTGCGCTCAGCCTTTCTTATGGTCCAGCTTTCACAGCCATACATTGCAACTGGGAAAACCATGGCTTGGACTATACGCACGTTTGTTGGCAGGGTGATGTCTCTGCTTTTTAGTAGGCTGTCTAGATTTGCCATAGCTTTCCTCCCCAGGAGCAAGCATCTTTTAATTTCTTGGCTGCAGTCCCCATCTGAGATGATCTTGGAGCCCAGAAAAATAAAATCTGTCACTACCTCCATTTCTTCCCCATCTATTTGCCAGGAATTGAGAGGGCCGGATGCCATGATTTTGGTTTTCTTAATGTTGAGTTTCAAGCCTACTTTTGCACTCTCCTTCTTCACCCGCATCAAGAGGCTCTTTAGTTCCTCTTCACTTTCTGCCATTAGAGTGGTATCATCTGCGTATCTTAGGTTGTTGATATTTCTCCCGGCAACGGAGAGGTAATGTTAGGCAAGGAACCCTAACCCTAACCCTCCTCATTATCCCCATTTACACAGGCTCTCTTGGAGGAGACTGTCTCTTCTTAAGCATGCTTATCAACTGGATAAGTCTCAGTTCTTTCAGCTTCCTGCCCAGGGCTTCAGAGTCTTGGGAGACCTTCAAAGTCCTTCCTGGCAGGGTTGTTCTTTCCCATATGAATAAGTAGGAAGGGTCCATTATTGATGGGTATGAGATGTCTCAGCAGCCTGTCTGTTGCATCCTGGACATGGGCATCTGAACGTCATCTCAGGCCTACACATTGTGGCCTCTCAACAGGAAATCCTATATACTTTTTCTTTCTAAAATTGATTTTTAGGCTTTATTGAGCTGTGATGGCTTGAGTGATTTCTGCTTGCTTCCATGAAATTGAGTCAGGTAGCAATAGATGTCACAGATGTTGAGAAGCAATGTCAACTCTGAGGGTCTTTGGACCCTTCTACTACTACTACTACTACTACTACTACTACTACTACTACTACTACTACTACTACTACTTCTTCTTCTTCTTCTTCTTCTTCTTCTTCTTCTTCTTCTTCTTCTTCTTCTTCTTCTTCTTCTTCTTCTTCTTCTTCCTCCTCCTCCTCCTCCTCCTCCTCCTCCTCCTCCTCCCTTCTTCCTGTTCTCTGGCATTCCTATTCTTCTCTCTGTTTTCTCCTAAGGAAGTTTATTTGTTCTATCCAAGAAACTCTCGTTTTTTTTCTGATATCTGGCAGTGCTTGGTTTCTTTCCTCAAATCCCTTTTCCAATTAGCCTGCATTTCCATTGGGGTAGTTTGGGTTCTCATTAGACAGGAGGGCATTTTTTGCAGACTTCCTTGACTGACCGTGCTGCTTGAGAGTCCCCCCCACACCCTTCCCCCGCCAGCCATCCAAGCTAAAATCCTCTTTTGCTCTCCTTTTCACTTGTTCAATGAGCTCGCTCTCTCGGGAACTGCCTTGCTTGTAAGTCCCCCGACAATGCTTTTCTTTTCATTGACTGCAGCTGCTGAACTGCATACATTTAGAGATAGAATGGAAGGCATTAAACAAACAGACAGATCTCATATTTATTATTACAACAAAACTGGCTTCTGATCTGAGGGAGCAAAGGGTTCTTGAGACTAGATACTTCAGAACAGCCTAGAGCCCAAGCATCATGGGGACCCAGCACTGGGTCACAGGGCAAGGCCTGGGGAATTGACCCTTGGGATGGGCAAAAAAGGGCTCCTTCTAAGGCAGTGTTTCCCAAACTTGACAATTTTAAGGCATGTGGACTTCAACTCCCAGAATTCCACAGCCAGCATCGCTGGCTGTGGAATTCTGGGAGTTGAAGTCCACATGCCTTAAAATTGTCAAGTTTGGGAAACACTGTTCTAAGGCAAGACTCTGCTAGGAGATCGTGGATCCCCGCTTACCCGTATTTGGAGTGAGGGCACTTGATGTGCTCACACTCCTTCAGATGTGCCTCCAGGTTCATCTTGAGCAACGGAGGGCAATTGGGATTGTTGGGGCAGCGCACTGGCCGGTAGTCACAGCTGCCTTCATGGTCCCTAGACATAAAAGGGGGAATGTCAGAAAATGAGTATCTCTCTCACATACGCGCACACACACACACCTACAATGGATTACTACTCTTTGGCAAAGGGACCAGATATTTCTCTGGAGTGGCATCAGGGAGGTCGTCTGGACATCTCCATCTTTAGGCAACTTGAGGGCAGCTGGCCATTTCCACAGCGTTGCCCTGAAGCCTAGTACCAATATTTGAGCTGGTGAGGTTTTACAAACACCTTGGAGTGTACTCACACAAAATGGATGTCTTTGTAGGCAGGGTGAAACACGAAAGCCACATTTTTACCAAAATGAAAATGGATAAGATGGGAAGAATCGTGATTCTTCCCCCCCCACTCTGTTGTTCCATGATGCTGGGCTATAACCATCCAGCTTTTGTAATCTTACGAGCTCTGGCTGTGGAAACAGAGCTGTGGTTTAGCTGAACAAACGGAGCTGGAAAGGTTTAATTAAGTCACTAAAGCAGTAGTTCTCAACCTTTCTAATGCCGCGACCCCATAATACAGTTCCCCATGTTCTGGTGACCCCCAACCACTTATACATCACCGGGTGCCAGGGGCGTGGCGAAAGAAAAGGGGAAAAAATGGCGGACTGTGTTGTTTGGCGACCCCCGTGAAATGGTCGTTCGACCCCAAATGGGGTCCCGACCCACAGGTTGAGAACCACTGCACTAAAGTATTTATAGCAGTTTTGCCAGCTCTGCAACAAAAGGGACTGAAATCTCTCTACAGCAGCGGTTCACAACCTGTGGGTCGCGACCTCTTTGGGGGTCGAACGACCCTTTCACAGGGGTCGCCTAAGACCATCGGAAAACACATATTTCCGATGGTCTTAGGAACCGAGACACTGCTCCTCTATCTGTCTCCGCACGGCTTCGAGCTGGGGGCTGTTGTAGCGCCGGATTCGTTTCTGTCGAGCATCTCCTAAGGGAGGCTGCGTTGCTTCGCTGCCCTTTCCGTGGAGGAGGCTGAACTAAGCTCTGCCGGCGCTGTCGCCCTCTTGGCACTCTCTCTCTCTCCCCGCGTGGGCGCTTCTCCAACCAGGCTGGGTGGGGCTGGCGGAGCGGCCTTCCTGCCACCCCCTCCCTGGCCAGCTGGAGCTGGGCAGGCCGGCAACCCTCAGAAGGGAGGCGAGGACAGGCGAGGCTCGTTGAGCCCCGGGTGCGGCGGGTGAGTGAGCGGCGTCGTTGCGCGCTTGGAGAGCCCTTAGGGTTGGGGGTCACCACAACATGAGGAACTGTATTAAAGGGTCGCGGCATTAGGATGGTTGAGAACCACTGCTCTACAGAGATGTCCAGCTTTTGTTCCCTCCCATGCAGCAACCCGTGGATAAGCTCCGTTTAGGACCCTTCCCAACAACTTGATCTTTGGCCACCAAAAGGCAGCTGCAAAATGGCTGAATTTCAGCTGTGCTTTTCAGAGGGTTGTTCAATTATCTAAGGTAGTTTTAAGACAAAGAGCAAGTTTTTTGGGGGGGCGGGCTCCTCCTCCCATCTCTACCCTTGAAAACCCCGCAAAGGGCTACGTTTGGTCGTTCTTCTTCCAGCTTAATGTCACCCCTGCAACAACTGAAAAACAACAGCCATTTTATCTTTTGCCTTTGCTGTTTTTTTCTATGTTGTTTGGTATTTTTTAGATGGGGGGGGGGAAATGCTTGAGTTGTTTCAGTTAGCCATAACAATTGCAGCTGTGTGAGAATCAAGGTCAATGGTAGAAAAAGTTTTGGTGGGCTGAAAGGTTGGGGGGAGAACCCACCTTTTAGTATAACTGGTGATAGTGATTGATGACAGCCTTTCTTGGGTGGGAATTATAATTTGTTACTTTGTATAAGGGGGGAGAGAACTTTAGTCTTGGGTTCATCTATGTAAGTGCCGATACTGTGTTTCCTAAATTAAATGTTCTTTAAGGAAGAAATCTTTGCCTTGAAGTTCTTTTAAGTCAGTGGTTCTCTTTTTAATGCCGCGACCCCCAACCGGTCGTAAGTCAAGGACTACTCAACCGGTCGTAAGTCAAGGACTACTCAACTGGTGCAGCACCGTTTGTAGAATGGGACTTTTGGCGGGCTCAGCAGGGCAGACACAGCCTGGACAATTCCTGTTGGCTTTTGAAAGCCAATAGAATTAGACTCTATTCAAGAGAGTCTATTCTATTGGCTTTCAAAAGCCAATAGAATAAAAGGGAGTAGCACAGCTAAGGAAAAGGGGGAAAAAATGGCAGACTGGGTTGTTTGGCGACCCCCGTGAGATGGTCGTTCGACCCCAAATGGGGTCCCGACCCACAGGTGGAGAACCACTGTTTTAAGTGGTTTCATCTATTGGAGTGTTTCTCAACCTTGACAATTTTAAGGCATGTGGACTTCAACTCCCAGAATTCCACAGCCAGCATTGCTGGCTGTGGAATTCTGGGAGTTGAAGTCCACATGCCTTAAAATTGTCAAGGTTGAGAAACGCTGATCTATCGGAACCACGACACTTAGATTTCTTGGGAAAAAAGTCTTCCCTTTGTCTGCAGCATTAATCCCAGGTCGTGTCTCCTCCCAAATCTCTCCACAGCCCGTCCTTGATTGCACTGTCAAAAATATGGAAAGGGGCAGTGGGAGGGAGGATGCCACCCTGCTGAATTCGAGGAAGCAGCCATTCCCAAACAAGCCAGAGATCGCGGGAAGAGGCTTCACGGTAACTTACTTCCTGGCACTCAGTTTAATGGTGAAGGGGCACCCATGGGGGTCCACCTCAAAGGCTGGAGTCTTGCCACTCGCGCTGGACCGGCAGCCGTACTTGCAGTGAATGAAGAGCTCCCCAATTTGTTCGGCCACTGCAATGTTGTTGACCACCACCGTCAGTTTGGCATTGTCCACCGGGCACTTCTCTGCAAGGAGAAACCCTTTGTGAAGATCATTCAGACACCATCCCGAGCTGGGATCCACTACGGCTAACCACTTTAAAACACTCCAAGGGAACATTGGAATCCAATTTCTAAGTAAAGCTGTTGTCCGCTTAAACACCAGTAACTTCCTCAAATGCCTGAATTTGTAAGTTTATCAATTGACTGGCATACATTTCATCAATTAAATAACTCACATATCTTCCTGTACATTATCTTAAGAGAGGTCATTCCTCAAAACCACCCATCGTTCTGTGCCTCTCTCGGGTGACTTTTCTGCGATCCCCTGGACTCTTTCAACCACGGTTTCAGAGACAGGAAACACAGAAACATTGTAGAGGAGATATCAAAATAGGCTCACTAAAACAAGGGGAGCATATCAGAAATTTGGAAAATCCAAAGCCCATCTACTTGCAACGTTGCCCTGGCAACCGCCTGCCTCGCCAAAGTTGTACAGCCCTGGTCTGCCCAAATCCACTACTCTGAACGTGGGAGTCACCTAAAGCAAGGGTTCTCAACCTTGGCAACTTTAAGACTTGTGGACTTCAATTCCCACCTGTACAGCGGCTCCTACCAAACCATTAAGGTAAGCGTGCTCTCAGGTGCTCCGCCTGCTGCGGCTTCTCTCTCTAGCCTGGGAAGAAGATTCCATCAGCTCTTTTCTCTCCTCTGCTCCAGATCTGGGACATCCGGAACCTAGAATGTGTGCATGTGCTACAGACGTCTGGGGGCAGCGTCTACTCCATTGCGGTTACCAACCATCACATCGTCTGTGGCACCTACGAAAATCTCATTCACGTAAGGATGAGCGAAGACCAGGAGGAAGGGGGCAGTGGGGCACTTTGCAGCCTCTTTCAGCCCTCCCCAGAACCTCCAGTCCTCTCTTTCTGGGATCTGGCAAGCAGACCGAATAGCTAGAACAGTGATGGCGAACCTTTTAGAGACCGAGTGCCCAAACTGCAACCCAAAACTCACTTAATGTATCATCGGGTGCTGCATGGACATGGCCCATTGGGTGGGTGTGGCCCACTGGCTAGGCATGGCCCATTGGGTGGGCGTGGCTGCGGTGGTAATGACAGACCGGATGGGACTAAAAAGTTCAGTCAATCAATTCCAATTTTGTGAGATCTTTTTTTTTCCGGCGAGAAGTTGAAATTGATTGATTGATTGAACTTTTTTTTTTTTTTTTTTGCACCCGGCAGTGGAGGCCTAAAGCGAAAAGGTTTTATAAAACCCAGCTGAAGGCCTAGGACTGGGGCGATGGCGCACGTGCCCACAGAGAAGGCTCTGCGTGACACCTGTGGCACCTGTGCCATAGGTTCGCCACCACGAAGCTGGAGCAACCAGAATCGGAAGGGGGAAACAATGGGAAAGTAACGCTCGGCCTTTGCTCTGTTCCCTGTTAAACTAGGTGTGGGATATTGAGTCGAAAGAGCAGGTTCGCACCCTCACGGGACACGTGGGCACTGTGTACGCTCTGGCAGTCATCTCTACGCCGGATCAAACCAAAGTCTTCAGCGCCTCGTATGATCGGTCGTTGCGGGTACGTAAGGCACAGCAAGTTGTTGGTTCAAGGCGAGGGGCGCAGAAGAAGACCATGGGAAAAAGGGGGAGGTGGCAATGGGAGGGATCCTAACAGATCTTTCAAAGTCTATTAATTTGATGAAGTTGAACTTTTAGGAAGCAGGCAGCTGGGCTCCTGATCCCTGAATAGCTGTATGGTCATCCCAACCCAAGGTCTCGTCAGCTGCCTGGCTCCACCAACAGTGCCCTCTGCTGCGTGAGGGACTTGTGTGTGTATGTGTGACCTTGCTAATCTCCTTTCTCCAAAACCTTTGAAATGAATTGCATTAGAGGAGAACAGGAGGAGCTTTTTGGGCCACGGTCCTGTTTGAACTGATTTCTCCAAAGTTAGGCCAAGCCCAAACAGTTTGAGAGAAAATAACTGTATAGAAGCAAGCAGAAAAATTGATTTCATTTCATTTCAATGATTTGTATGTTATGTGTGGGTACCGTATGATTATTCTCCACCCTCCTGTATTCTACTGGCAAATTCCCAAGTGCAAATTCGTGTAGCAAATTCCCAAGTGCAATTTTGTAAGAAGTTTTTGAGATCATGTAGGGCAGGGGTCCTCAATCTTGGCAACTTTAAGACTTGTGGACTTCAACTCCAAGAATTCTGGGAGTTGAAGTCCACAAGTCTTAAAGTTGCCAAGGTTGAGAACCCCTGACCTAAAGGAAAAATCCGGAGCTGCACTTGGCAAAAGTAGCTAGCAGAGTGAAATTTCTCAGAGGCTGTAAAAAGTACCAGAGTCCAAATCAACAGGGAAACCCTGGGTGCGATTTTTTAATTTTCTTTTTGATCAAGAAGCAAAAGATAAGAAAGCTTACATGTTCCAACAATACAGGTAGTCCTCAACTTATAACTGTTTATTTAGTGACCATTCAAAGCTACAACGGCGTTGGAAAAAAGTGACTTGTGACCATTTTTCACACTTATAACCTTTGCAGCCTCCCCGGGGTCACGTGATCAAAATTCAGACACTTGGCAACTGACTCATATTTATGACGGTTGCAGTATCTTGGAGTCATGTGGTCCCCTTTTGCGACCTTCTGTCAAACAAAAGTCCATGGGGAAGCCAGATTCACTTAACAACCGTGTTACTAACAATGGCAGTGATTCACTTAACAACTGTGGCAAGAAAGGTCACAAAATGGGGCAAAACTCACCTAACAATTGTTTCACTTAACAACAGAAATGATGGGCTCAATTGAGGTTGTAAGTTGAGGACTACCTGTAATCTCAAATACAATGTTCAACAGGACTGTAATTACCTACCAGAGGTTAAGGCACATCTCCTGCAAAATGTGTGCTGTGAAGAAAGAGAACACAAGACTGTAAGAAGTGGGGTGTGTATCACATAACATTTGTCTTCCCCACCAGGGAGAAGCCTCTATGGGTTCTGCTAGGCTGCATCTGCTCCCTAGAGACCCAGCCCTGTTAATCCAGTTTGCTCCAGGAGCTAAAACTGGTGGATTGGCTCCTTTTCTGCAGATCTTTGTGGACAAATCAGCCTCCATATGTCCAACTCAACTCTAAGAAAGCAAAACAGACAAATTGCATCATTCTTCCTCACATGCAACCCAGCAAAGGTTTTAAAAAATAAATTCATTATCTGGAAAGAAAAGATCCCAGACAAAACCAGATCTTGAAAAAAATTCCTTTTATCAGATGGCTGCATTCTGGACTATAAAAGGTGATACAGTTCCCTTTCCTATGACCATTACATCTCTTCTTCCAGACAGATGCCACTCACCTCCATCTTACTGAAAGCCTCGTTTCGTTTAGGCCAGGGGTAGGCAACCTTGGCTCTTTTATGACTTGTGGACTTCAACTCCCAGAATTCCTGAGCCAGCCACGCTGAGGGGAAAGGGAGAGTTTCCAAGCTGAGCCATGCTGGCTCAGGAATTCTGGGAGTTGAAGTCCACGAGTCATGAGGGGGCTATAGTTCCCCCATGCTGGCTCAGGAATTCTGGGAGTTGAAGTCCACAAGTCATAAAAGAGCCAAGGTGGCCTACCCCTGAGCTAGGAAGCTCACCGCTTAGAACAGGAGGACTTAGACAGGGGTAGGCAACCTTGGCTCTTTTATGACTTGTGGACTTTGGGTCATAAGCAACACTTATGACCCAAATTTGAAGCCCTGACAGTCTCCCCGTCCTGTGACTGCACTTTGGGCACTGGGCAATCAGCCCGCATTAATTTATTCTTATTTGTTTGTATCCGTCTTTATTTTTACAAATATCTAGCCAGGCGTATAGGACTTGGAAGAAGTGCAATGTCTGGCATGAATAACATCTGGAAGAATAAAGACATCTGTCTCGCAACCAAATGGAGATTAGCTAGCGCAATAATTTTTCCAATTGCTCCTTACGGCTGCGAAACTTGGGACTCTGAAAAAAGGCAGATAGGAGGAGGGAGGACGCTTCTGAGCTGTGGTGCTGGAGTCGACTATGACACATCCCACGGACTGCAAAAGTAACAAAGAAGTCCTAGAGCGAACCTCACCCAAAATAGTCACTTGAAGCCAAGATTGCTAAACAGAGGCTGTCATACTTTGGTCACATCGTGAAAGCTGACTCACTCAAAAAGTCAATCATGCTGGGAGTGATCAGCAGAAAAAGGAGGAGCCACTGGCTGGACACTATAAAGGATGACACTGGGATGATCGTGGCGGATCTGAAGGAGGCGGTGTGGGACAGAGGGCCATGGAGAGTGCTGATCCACAGAGTGGCCGAAGGTCGGACACAATGCCGTGTAAAACCGCACCAATGGTGAATCCTTACTGTACTTAATGACTGTGCTGTTTGTTTAACGAGCACAGTGATTGAGTCACTGCTTTACAACCATTATGAGTCACCACCATGAAGGGCAGGCTCCGTTGTGCTGTGGGTTGAAGTTCCTACCAAAGGAGAGGTTGGAAGCACAGTTGCACAGGATCCAGTGGGGGAGAAAAGGGCAGCCAAAGAAAAGGCAAATCCTTTCTTGCCTACGTCTCCTCCAGAGGATCGGGACGAGTAGAAGGGAAGGGAAGGGAAGGACTGACCTTTGAGACTGGCAGAAAGGGTGTGTGTGGGGGGGGGGAGGGCAGGGAATTTCAGGCTACTCGGTCTAACCTTTTCTGGGTCATATGTGTGTTTGTATATGGGTATATGCATAATGGTACTTTTTTTTTTAGAGCTGAATGTAATGAAATTTCATTTTAATGTATGCAGATTAGTGTACATTTAAAGCAACAATAAAATTTCTATTCTATTCTATTCTATTCTATTCTATTCTATTCTATTCTATTCTATTCTATTCTATTCTATTCTATTCTATTCCATTCCATATTCTATTCTATTGTCAGAATCCAATTATATTTCATCTCTAGTTATCAACTATAGAAAACCCCATTTCTGCCTTCTCTGGATTCTGTCATATGATGAAGGGAAGGGGGTGAACAAAGGGGCTTTATGGCCTCACTTCCTTCGGTACACTTCAAAGGGACTGGATGTGGATATCACCAAAAGGACTAACCATAACAATAGGGCTATTACCTTTCATGTACTCCTCTCTGAAGTCTCCCTCCAGCTGGCAGTAAAGAAAAGGGGGTGGGAGTGTAATGCCTGAGATTGTCGCTGGAAGAAGGGGGTGATTGGGTGGGGCTACTGGGGAACCCCTTAAAACCTTGAATGGAAGAGCTTGGACTCCAAGTCCTGTCTAGAATGCCTGCAACCATTTTCTCTTAATAAAGGATGCCTGTTGGAAGAATTATTCCAAGAGTTCTGTCTTCTTAAGATGCAAAGTGGGGTGGGTCCTTACATCTATTCTATTCTATTCTATTCTATTCTATTCTATTCTATTCTATTCTATTCTATTCTATTCTATTCTATTCTATTCTATTCTATTCTATTCCATTCCATATTCTATTCTGTTCTGTTCCGTTCCATTCCATGTTCTATTCTGTTCTGTTGTTCTGTTCTGCTCTGCTCTATTCCATTCCATTCCATTCCATGTTCTATTCTATTCTATTCTATTCTATTCTATTCTATTCTATTCTATAATTTCTATTCCATTCCATTCACCTGGGAAGGTTCTAAAGCTGATCAAACAAAGGTGCATTAATTTGGATTACTGCACTGAGCAGGAAGTTGGACTGGACGGCCAGGTTATCCCCAAACAGGCTTCAATTCAGGACCCCGACTGCCTTCTCCATAGGACTGAAACTACAGCCTGGGTCGGCTCCTTACCCCACAAGTCGTGATCACGGGATCTTTAAACACACTGCAACACAACTGGCAACAGAGTTTCACAGAAGGCTGCTCAGCAAACACCAAAGGCTCCTGTAACCAACCAGAACACAAAGGAGAAAATGAAAGAGCGCCTCCCTTTGCTCAAATGCAGCAATGCCCTGCCAGGCCGGGGACCTTGGAAGACAAAATCACAGGTAGTCCTTGACTTACAAATACAATGGAGCCCAAACTTTCGGTTGCTGAGTGAGACGGTCGTTAAGCGGGTTTTGCCGGGGCCGGGCCGGGCTGCAAGAAGAACTCTCCAGGGCCCAAGCAAAACCTTTCATTTGCAAAAATACAGATGACGACCAGAAGGTGTGAAAGAATTCTGCCCTCTGTATCTTTCTGCTGCCATCTAGTTGGAATTGGTCCAGGGTTTTGCAGTCCAGATACCAAAACATCTCCCTCCTTCTTTCACAATCGGGGAAGAGAAAAGGAGAGAATTTTATTTATTTATTCAAAACTTCTCACTGACTCTAGGCAGCTCCCAGGATGAAAGCAGCTAGCAGGGGACGACACCGGAGGGACCAGGGATCTCTTTGGAAGCGGGCAAACAGGGGCATTTGTGTTTGCAGGATCCAAAACAGCTGCCTGCCTGTATTTACAGCAGGGCGGTCTCCAAACCTGTCAACTTTTACGACTTGTGGACTCCAACTTCACAGCTGGTTGAGGAATTCTAGGAGTTGTAGATCAAAAGCTGAGGTGGCGCAGCAGTTAAGAGTGCAGTACTGCAGGCCACTTTAGCTGACTGTGTTCAGCAGGTCAGCGGTTCAAATCTCACCGGCTCAAGGTTGACTCAGCCTTCCATCCTTCCGGGGTAGGTAAAATGAGGACCCAGATTGTTGGGGGCAATGTAATATAATATATATATATACATTGCTTACTGGTGTACACCACTTAGAGAGTGCTTGCACTTAAAGCGGTATATA